TATCGAATTTAACATATGTTTCGACCCCAACCTCAGGCCATTCACAAAAAGTAATACCTGATGAATTAGAAACTTAATGAAAAAGCAAAACTTGAAAGTCTTGAAAACAGTATATGAGATCTTTATGACATCAGTGTAGGAAAGGATTGCTCAGGTAAGACACAGAAAGCTCACACCCTCAAGAAAAGATCATAAATTTTTTGCCATTAAAATGTAAAAATCTTAAAAAGAAATGTTAAGATCTTAAAAAGATACTGAGCACAGACTGAAAAGAGACAACCACAGACTCAAAGAAGAAATTTTAAGTACATAGACCTGCTAAATAATTATTTTGCAGAATAGAAAGTACTGCTACAATTCACACACATAAAATAACAATAATAGAAAACAATTAAAATGGACAAAAGACATTTCACTGAAGGAGAATCCCAAATGTTTTACAAACAAATGAAAAGATGCTTAACTCCATTACTAATCTGGGAAATGCAAATTTAAAAGACAATAACATCCCATTTCACACTTGTTCCATACTAAGACATTATCAAATGCTAGCAAGAAAGTAGTATAACCAGAACTCTAGATCCTACTAGTGGGAACTGTATACAGTACACTACTATGCCCTACTGGTATCTAATCAAGCTGTAGTTACACATACCCCAGGAGCCAGCAACTCCACTCTTCATATATGTGTCCTAAAGAAAATTACATTTGTGCACCAGGAACCACATGTATGTGCATAGATGCACTGTTTATAGAAACAAAAACCTGGAAGCAACCCACATGTCTCACAAAGGGATGAACCAATCACTATAGAGGACACCAGGGAGACTGAATTAATGACAGCTATGTGCTACAGCATGGAGGCATCTCAGGAATAGAATGTTGAGGGGAGGAAGTCAATGGAGAATACTTAAGTGGAATTGTTCTATACGTCAAATTCAAAAACCGGCAATGGTAACTAATATATCGTATAAGGAGGCAAACCTACAGTAATATTATAAAGAAAAGCAAGAAAACAGTCAACACAAATTTCATAATAGTAGTTACTCTTGAGGAAAGGAAATGGTGGAAAGAGAAAAAGGAGCTCAGGACATGACAAAGATCATCAGTAATCAGCCAGATTAGAATAGAAGCTGCCCCCTGCAGAAAGCATTTCCATCACTTGCCGTGTGCTGTTGTCCAGAGACTGTTGTTTTCCTCGCAGCTTCCTTCTGGGTCACTAACCTCCAGCACCTATCTAGTCTTCGTGGGCACTTGAGATTATGACTTTTCTTTAGAGCAGTGGTTCTCAGGTGTGGTCCCAGAACCAGCAGCTTCAACTTGCCATAAGTGCCAACTGTTTAGGTCCCACCCTAGGCCTGCTGTATCCAAACCCTAGGGGTGGAGGCCAGCAGTCTGTGTTTTAGCAAGCCCTCCCAGGGATTCCGAAGCTCACCTTGAGAACTTTTGTTCTTAAGGACCTGGCCCAGGCCCTGGACCTCCTGCCTGGTCATCCTTCCACTCTGAGTCTTTTAAGTACTGCTATAGGAGGGCTGCACTTTCTTCTAGCGGAAGCAGTAGTCCTTTCCAAGAGCCAGCAGGACCCTCAGCTGCCCCACATCTGAAGGGAGCCTCCTCCCACTTTGTCTCAATCAATGCCATTTTAGCCATTGTGCTGTGACTGGTTCTCTAGCGTCAGAAATTGACACCATAGGAGTGCTCTGCCTGCCTTATCCCGACAGGGCTGTTGTAGGAGCTTTTTTTCCACAATAGAAAGATTAATATTAACAGTAAAGAGTATCTGTCTTAACTAACTACTAAGTCTGCCTAACAGCAAAAGACGTTAAGATAGACTAGGAAACAGAATGCAGTTACCTTTGTCTCTGCTTCCAAGAAATTGTCATTTTTCACAATAGGAGACAGTTTCAGCATAGCTCCCTTTCTCGGCTCCCTACTACTTCCCAGGCTGAGGAGGGGGGAAAGACGGCAGTCATTCTGTGTCCACTTCTCCAGCCTTGGAGCCCTCCTGCTGATCTCAGAGCCCTTAGGAAATGAATACAAGTAAAGTGAATTCTAATGTCCATCTGAAATGCAAGTGCTTCACCTGATAACATTCTCCTAGGTCCAGACATTTTTTTTGTGTGTGTCAAGCTTTTTTTTTTTAACCTCAGCTATCTTTTTGTATGAATCCTTCAGTTTAAATGCTACATAACAAATACGAACACATTCACCATATCCTGAATTTGATGTCACTGACATCAATTGTTTTGAGAAATATTGCCTACTGTCATCACTGAGCCGTATGCAGTACTATCATCCTACCCTCTTTTACAGATACTGGTTTCAGAAATACAGGTGCTAATTTCATGAAAAGGTGGCCTTTAACAACAAAGAATGGCATGAAGATATGTTAGACAGGAAAGAAGTCCAGTTTTTCTGGAAGTGATAAGATATACTGGACAATATACTGGCTAAACCTGGGTTCAAATCTTGCCTCTGCCCTTTTACTAGATGTACAACCGTGAGCAAGCCTCTCACCTTTGTGACCTTGTGTGCACAATCAAGACTAAAGAGTACCAGAGTCATAGGATTTTTATGAGGTTTAAATGAAGTAATACATGTAAAGCACTTGGCGTGGTATCCATCACCTACTGAGAAAAAAAAGTGATATATTCAAAATGTACTTCAGGAGCTAGACTCATGTGTGAAGTACACTGGGAAGAAGGAAGAATGAGAAACAAAACTTGTGAGGCACTCATATAGTCCAGGTTAGAGATGAATTAGTACACTGAGAAGGGAGAAGTTGTGAGTTAACTGATCAAATAAAAGACGGAAGGAACAAGGGGAAGGAGAAGATGGCATGAAGACTGTCACCTGAGGAGGGTGGATGACAGCAGTGCCATTGAGAAGGGGTGAACAAAGTTGGAGTTGAGCAGAAATATTACCAGAAGGGATACTTATGCCGTAAGGGGGAAAGTATCAACACTAGTAAACACCGAAGCCATTAGAAAATGCTGGATAACTGTGTAAGCCAGCCAGACTTTATAGGAGAGAAACCAAATGGCACAAAAGCATCCTCATATTTCAAAAGTGAGAGAATCAAGAGCACAGGAGGAGCTGAACTGATTGGATGAAGGCTCTAGGCAAGACTGCACTACATAGACATCACTCTCTATTGCTCTGTTTAGTGAGAGAAACCACATGCAAATTAAGTAAGTCATAATTAGAGGTGGAACCACCCTAGCCCAGCACCAAAGTGGTCAAGGTCTTGTGAGGAGCCAGTAGGAGAGGGGGATTCTTGCCATCACAAGGGATGGGGTCAGAAAGGAGAGAATAAGTTCAACAGAAGCTCAAGCCTGTCTCTCACCAGGACTATAGACCTGTCATTCCTCTGTAGTGACTCTGGTTGGGTCACTTTAGGGGGAATGCAGACATCAATAAAGAAGTGTCAAAGACCTGACTCTTGGCATCTGTGATGGGGCTTAGGATCTCTGGGTGGTGGTGTCCCTACTGGTCAGCTCATTGTTCCTGCCACTTACTGAAACCCAAAAGGGTTTGCAAGAAGTGGTGGAAGCAGAACAGGGAGCCAAAAGTTGGCAGAGAGGCTGTTGTCCCTAATGTTCTAAGTGTCTAGAAGCTGGGGACACAGAAATAAAGCTCAGGAAACTCATCTGAGTCAGAGCAGTTTGAAAGCCATGCTGAGGTCTGTGCTTCCTAAGTTAGGATATTCTTGTTGTAGAGAGAGAAGATCTTGATCCACTGCTATTTGATGATAATGTTAATATCTAGACTATTCAGGGGGTGGTTAATATTTTTCACATTAAATGAGTTAAGCAAAGTTCTTTCTAAGGAATATTATCCTGTTTTGCCATCATAATTAACATGGAGTGTAGCTGATTCACCTTCTCCCCTTTCTTAATTACATACAATAAAATCTACTCTTTGGTGGTACAGTTATGTGAGTTTTCACAAACACAGAGGGTTGTGTAACCACCACTGCAATCAAGATCCAGAATAGTTCTATCACCTATACATCCCCTTCCCATGCTGCTCCTTTACAGTCAAATCCCTTACCCTCTCTAACCCTCCACAACCAATGATCTGTTTCTCTCTTCTTTTGACAACTGGTTGAAGAGGGCCCAAGATTTCTTTATGATTTGCTGGTATAATAACACCAGTAACAGCAGTAATAGTAATAGTTTTTTAAAATTTTTTTAATTTTTATTTATTTATGATAGTCACAGAGAGACAGAGAGAGAGGCAGAGACACAGGCAGAGGGAGAAGCAGGCTCCATGCACCAGGAGCCTGATGTGGGACTCGATCCCGGGTCTCCAGGATCACGCCCTGGGCCAAAGGCAGGCGCCAAACCGTCTGCGCCACCCAGGGATCCCAGTAATAGTTAATATATATAATGATTTTCAATGTGTCAAGCACCACTTGTGACACTTTATAGTTGAGAAAACTGAGGATTCGGGAAATTTTGGAAAGCAAAGAAGACAGGAGGGAAGAAGAGTCTCGCCAGGGTCACAGAGTGGCAGCCCCAGGGCTTGAGTCAGGTCTATCTAACTCCTAGGTCTCTTTTTATAACCTCTATCTGATTCTGCTCCTTTTAACAAAGTAGAAGGGATATCTATCAATTTTAGAAAGCTCAGTTGAGACCTGGGATCGCCTTACTCTAAAAAAAAACAAAACTTATACTCTAAAAAAAAACAAAACTTATGTAAGAATTTGGTTAATTATACCAATAAAGCAATAATTGAGTAGGTGTAAGATAAAATGAAGCCAGGATCCTAGAACACCTTTCCTACAATCTTTTCGATGTGCAATGAAGATAGAGCCCAGATATGTTACTTCCTCCCTCATAAACTTGACAGGTTTGTAAAGCAAAACTAAAAAAAAATCCTGATCGAATACTGAAATGCCATTTTGTGTCAATGCTTTGAGCAGCAACTTCCTCTCAAATTTGCAAAAGAAAAAAGGCAAAATGGGATTTTTAATCCTCATCTTACATGTATTTCAGGTTGGAGTCCCCAACCCGGTCTTTGGTAATGGAGGCCCCAAAAGGAGTAGAAATAAATGCAGAAGCTGGCAACATGGAAGCTACCTGCAGAACAGAGCTGAGGCTGGAGTCCAAAGATGGAGAGGTAAGGGTACAAAGGACACAGGTCCGGAGAGCTACAGCTCCAATAAGACAACCTTTCCCACAACTTTCCCAGACTCCCTTGGCATCGAATCTGATCCTACATTTCTAACAAGAGGAGCCAATCAGAAGGTTTTATGTCCAGAACAAATATGTTGAACAGCACAGTTATAAGCCTAACCCACAATATATGAGTTATGACTCACTATTTGTAAAGTGCTGAGGTAATAGCATGTACTCCAAGCCCAGAATTATACAAACAGCTATGAAAATGAATGCTATTTCTGAATTCATTCTCTCTCTCTCTCTCTCTCTCTCTCTCTCTCTCTCATCACCCAAAAGCAAGATTTAGGTAGCCAGCTTAATTGAGCTATATGTCACATGCATCTGGTGCAAGCTGAACGTAATTTACTCGTAGTCATTTTTAAAGCTTATGTTTTTGTTTCTCCTTTGAGAATGGAGAGTGGGACCCAACAGTTATCCCAAATCAGAACAAGACAAAACCTAAATAGGGTTAAGAGCAGGCAACAAGAGGATGGAGGACTGCACATATATTCCTTCTTCCACCTGACATAATCCCACTTTAGTGAATAGAATAGTCGCTTGCATTTGTGTAGACAAGGTAAGCCAAACCCCCAAGGAAGTTAGATTAAACTGCAAACTTTTAAAAATGTCTTCATCACATTCATAAGTGAACTTTTCTATTTAAGAGTTTTTAAATAGAGGGGAAAATGTCATTTTTTAAAAGCAAAACTCTTTTCCACTTTTCATATCTGCTTAGAGATTATCCATCTCCACCTGCTTCTGTGCACCAAATACACACCTTTTGATTGGTTTGGCATTTGCAATATTTGTTTTAAAAGAGCTAGTCAGATAAAGCATTCATTTATCAAAACACTCTCTTCAAACAGCCACAAATCACACACATTTTGAAATAGTGACTACATAACCTATGCAGATTATAGCTTGCAGAATCCAGACTCTGGAGAAATTGATTATAATCTTCAGAGTCATGTAAGAGTGGAAAATACTGCATATTCTTAAAGTCATCCCACGCACTCAGACCTAGATGGGGGTCTGAAGGCCCATAGTAAAGAAATGGTTAACCCAGCATTTCCAGATTCACTTCAGTCTAGGACTCAATTCATATCTTACATGATATACTTTTGCACAATGCTCATATAGACCAGTGCAATGTTGTCTTGGTAGATTATAAGCCTCAGGGTAGAGACTCTCTGTCCTGTTCATCTCTGAATTCCCAGTGCCCAGAATATTCAACATATGGTAGGTGCTCACTTAGGCTGAACACACATCTACTGTCTGAATGTCAAGAAAATAAATGGCAGGTTCTAACTGTCTTTCTTTCCTATTCGCTTTCTTTAGATTAAGTTAGATGCTGCGAAAATCCAACTACCTAGACTGCCTCACGGATCCTACACACCTACAGGAACGAGGCAGAAGGTCTTCGAGATCTGCGTCTGCGCCAATGGGAGATTATTCCTGTCCCAGGCAGGAACTGGTTCCACTTGTCAGATAAACACAAGTGTCTGCCTTTGAGAGACCATCCATAGTGGACGTTGCTGGTAGCATAAAGGCCGTTTTTGGCTTTAGACACTGGTTGCCAGCTATTTTTACTAGAACACAGAAAGCCTATCAAAGACCTTGTGTGTGTGTGTGTGTGTGTGTGTGTGTATGCACATGCGTGCACGTGTGTGTGTATGTGTGTGGGTGGATATAAATATATATAAATATATATAAATAAATATATATATCCTCTGTATAAAATGAGGTTTCAGTACAAAAGGAACCATGGGTGACCCTGTGATATCCACTGTCATTTCCATGTCAACCCCACCACATACATGATAAAATCAAAACACCGATTCAGGCCCAGTATTCCCTTCAAAGTCACACAGTGTGTCAGACATTTACTGAATATTCACCGACATATTTGAGTAGCTGCATATCTTGCACTTTAGTGTCATTTACAGGGCAGTGATGGCGGGAATCTCCAAGTCACACTCAAGCACTGAGACTCTCGTATTGAAATAGACATTTCATTTCCATTTTTAGCTTTAGGAAGGCTGGCCAACTTTCCCCTCTTCAAGTGAGGGATGGGGGCAGTGCCATAGAAGTCAGCTGTAGGAACTCAAAGTGGTTGTTCTCTCTTCGTAGCCAAATGTATTGGGGCTTTTGTTAGTTGGATGAATGTGGAGGATGAATATTAGTGAAGTTTGAAGTGCTCACCCAATGCCTGCTATCTTCCTTCAAAATCACATATTATCCCACAGTCAAAATAGGAGTTGTAAATCAGCACAAAAATAGGCTAACAGCTGCTTCTCAGTTGGCTGGAAGCTACTCATTGGCCTGACAGGCAAAGAATAAATGGGTGATAGGTCTCTGTTTAAAGGAAAAAATGGCTCAAGATCTGTTCCATCCTCTTTTTTGACTTCATTCAGTAGCCCCAAATGATCAGGTCAATCAAAATCCTTAAGACTGGAATCCCCATCCCAAGAGAAGACATTTAGGGATGGAAACCTAATTAAGAGTAGCATGGAAAGCCTAATTAATTTTTATGTTTCTTGGGATTTGCAGGTAATTTAGAGATGCCTTTTATTTCTAAAGGCATGCACAAACTTTGGCTTCAATCTTCTTCTATATATTTTTCGTTGGGATATTCATTTTCCTAAATCATTATGTTTTCTCTAAGAATAGTGACCCAAGAATCACAAATCTAAAATACATGCCCCCAGAAATGGTCACTAGAAAGTAACATAAACTGAGTTATGTATCTCTCTCAGACTCGCTGTGTTCCCGTGACCCAGCAGCACCACTACCTGATATGTGGAAGCAGCTCCCTAGTTCCCGCCATCAGCTACCTCTCATCCCTTCACCTTCATCATCGTGCTCCAGGGTCACCCTGGCCAGCTCTTGTGCTGGGACAGGGGATACACCATCTCTGTTCAAAGAGGGGGAAATGTGCCTATGCCTTAAGTCAATGCACTCAGCAAGGAGAAGCACATCCTATTTATCTTGTTGTTACCTGTAGTTTATTTTGGGTGATTGGAGGGGGATGGTTTAGTCATGAGTGGGCATCTTAAAATCTCATAGACAAACCAAGTGGCCAACAGACATGGACTCTCAGGAGCCCAGTGGAATGATAACTGGTTTAGACGGTCCTGGATGCCATTTGGCAAGCATTGGCCCCACAATCCTAAATGAAGTCATATTTGTAGGCCTGAATGGCATTTGTTTTTTCTTCAAGGTTTTAATTTTTCTTACTTCACAAGCAGGGGAAGATTTGACATAGGAAATGAATAAGAGATTTGGTAGTTTTGAGAGGACACTCAAGCATCAGGCTGAGGTTTGCATACAAAGGATATAAAGGCAAGCTGGGTGTTGCTTAGTCACTTAGGAGTGAGTGGGTGAGCGCTGGAGAGAAAAGAGGTTTCCTAGCCTGATCAGCAGCCCTGCTGGCTTCCAGACCCCATACTCTCTCCAGGCACTCCTCCTCAGTATCCTATGTAGAATAATTGAGATGTTCAACGGCAAAACTACTTAGTTTGTAACATTAGAGTCTAAAAAGGAAAACCCTAAGAAGATAGCAAGTTGCTCTGGATTGGTATTATTTATATCCTGTAGGATCATACTGCCAGAATTTGCATGTTCTACATACAGGGTTTTGTCCAATAGGAGAGCCCCCCCCCCTTGGCTATAAGGAACACCTACCCCATATCATTCAGACAGTAGTAGCTATGAGGCTCTCCATGGCTAAATACCTTAACACAGTATTTTTAAGCAGACAGACCATCTTTGCATTTTGCCATCTCAAGTACATAATCAATGGATAATAAGAAAACAAGGTTCCCTGAACCTCTTTCCTCTGATTTTGTTCTAATCATCATATGAAATTCTGAGATCAGCACCTTGGTGATTTTATGCCCATAAAAAAGCGAGGTGATCCCACTTGCAGAATTTAATCCTAAAGGTAATCAGATCACAAATAAGATAATAATAGCAAACCAAGAATAGAAATCAAGCATCTATGAAGGACAGACATGATCAAAACTTCTGATTTTCATTTGTGCTAAGTGACCACGTAATATACCACATAATAGGCAGGAAACTTGGCATCGTCTAAATTATATATTTCAGTTCAGACTATAGAATTCAGTATAATGCAATCAAAGTTTTGTTCTCCCAACTTCCTCCAACTAGAATATTTGTCTGTGGTCAGTGGTTATGAGACAAGGTTTTAATTCTCGGGAAAGAAATCTACATTAAAATTCTATAAACTTTAATTTTAAAAACTGGGATTCTTTCTAATCTTTATATATAATATATTCTGGACAATCACACTCCAGTATATTAAGCAGCAGGTGGTGTAAAAAAGAGTTCAAGTGAATCTTTAATATTATAGAAGTTCTAGTATGCTAATATTCTTCAGATTTTTAAAAATTAAAAAGTGATCTCCAAATATGTTTAGCACTCAGTACTATTTGTTATCTGTTCAATAAGTCATAAAATTTCAGTCTTAAGAAACTACTAGCATATGACTAAGGTTTTCAAAAGCCCTTATGGTGGCATCTCTGTAGGTGGAAACTTGGTATGAGGCTTTCTAATTGCTCTGTTACCCAAGGGATAGATCTTATCAACTTGAATTGGCTTTAACTTCCTTTAGGTCAGTTTCTTTGGATGATTTTCATTGTATATCCAGCAACCATAGACCAAAGATTGCTTAAAGTTTAACTCTAGAGCAGGGGTCAGCAAACTGTGGTCCCTAGACCAAACCTGGCTCATCACCAGTCTTTGTAAATAAAGTTTTATTGTAACACAGACATATCCATTCATTTCCATGTTGTCTGTGGCTGATTTCATTCTTTAACAGTAGGGTCGGGTAACTGTGCCAGAGACCTCATGGCCTGCAAAGCATAAAATACTATTTGGACCTTTCCAGAAAAGTTTGCTGGCCCCAACAAAGAGGTCATTTGTGCTATGTGTTGGACACAGCTGGAAAGAAAGTAAACTCCACAGTAGCATGGAGTAGCCCTACATGTATATGTGTGCTTAGGAATATAGATACTTGCCTATAGAAGAAAAGGTCAGTCTTATGTTACATGTAAAAGTGATCCACTTGTCTGAGAAATGCAGGTTCACAGGATTCTTGCAAGAAGGGAGGATGGAATCAGGGGGAGACTTAGTGCAAAAGGAAAGCTGTGATCCTCCAAGAGTTTTTTTTTTCCTTAGGACCCTTAACAGAGAAGTGGTTCCCTGGTCACCATCTTATAGGACCAGAAGAGAGATGGAAGTGCTATGATTTATATTTACAATCTTTCTCCTGAAGAGACTGTTTCTGCAATGTCACAGGTTTTCTACTTCACCATCACATATTCCAGAAAGATGCCCATTCCATGGTCCTCCAGAGACTATTTTTAACCGAGCAGGTCTTGTTGACATCAATCAACTCAGTTATTTACACCTCCAGTGCACTTGCCATTCCTATGTCCCTCCCCGGCCTGAAGGGTTGGTGGGACCAATAAATAATATTGGAAGAATAATAAATACTGGGAAAAAAGAAATATTGGAAGCAGCATTTTAAAATACGTAGGAAGAAAAAAATATAATAAACGTCTTTCATGAAGGTGTTTAGTGGGGAAATGAGATCAATGCCAGTTTGATTTTGTTTTCAAGAATTTGGTCTTTGTTCTTTGGTGTAGCAAGAGTGAAAAAAAAAAAAAGATCTATTTTGAATTCCAGTATCTCTGCCTCTGTGTAGTATGGCAAGTTCCTACCAGAGATTTGTCTTTACAGTCAACATCCCTACTGCTAAATCCATACTTCTATTCAATATTATTAAAACAGCATCAGTAATGACAGTCTTTGTAAGCATGAGTGTTCATATGTCAGAAAAGAAAGTTGTGGTTTTTTTTTTTAATAAAAACAGCCACCACTTACCAGAACCTAATCAACATCACTTAAAGAGCCCTTTTGCATTTTATCTGGATTCAACCAAGAGGATTAAATTGGCAACACTGCCCTCCACAGAAGCAACTACATGAGAATATCTTGCTTTTGTTTATTTTAGGCAAAAGGTAGCATGATGTTTGAACCAAATAGGTGAAAAAATCCATGTAAGCACCTGATCCTTGTTTTTTAAGGCTCTGTGAGAGGAGAATCTCATTTAAGTAAGTTGTAAACAAAACCGTTTGCTCTCTTTCCCCTGCACCAGGAAATCTTAGGCACAAAAAGGATAATGAAGCAGTTCCTGGAATGATACATTTGCATGGTGCCCCAGTAGCAGGTGGGGGGAAAAGTTAAAAGAAACAATCTGAGAAAACAGGCCTTTTATCTCAAAGATAAAAATGTCTCTCTTTTGGTCTTTCATCACTTTCTCCTCAGGGGAAGGTTCCCCCACTTCTAACGTATTTCCATTAAAATAGTCAAAACTACAGAATTGGGATGTCAGATGCATCTCTTTCTTTGTGGCAATCTGAATTTAAAATTATACAGTTGCCTCTGAATTTCTCATTCACAAAGCTAAAACCACTGATAAGAGATAAAGCAGTCTGAAGCCTGCTGCTTCAGCTAGCACACCACACCACACACATTAGCCCTTTCAAAAGCAATGGGATTTCTATGGTTCTTGAAAGCTTTCTTCATAACGGAGTCCTTGAAATTTCTTCAGGCAAGTCTGAATGGCAAAGGAAAAATCATTATTTGCAGGAAGTCCTTGTTTTGATTGTTAGAGCATAAATGTGAAAAAATTCTCCAGTTAGGGTGACCCATGCTCATATATGCTATTTGCTTTGGTTTTAACCATATTCCTCCCCCCCACACAACACACACACACAGATACACATACACTTCCTGTTATAGATACTGACAGAGTAAGAAATTAGCATCTTCTTTTGAGAAAAGAAAGCAATTGCAGAATCTGGGGCCCTTTGATGCAATAGAAGGTGTGATATCCTAACAATGTTGATGGTATCAAATCCATCACTAAATAGTCTCAGCTGTCCCACAGCAATGCTAACTGCTCTTCTTCCATTGCAGCCCAGCAAGTGGTAATAGCAGTTCCACATCCATGAGTTTTACAATTGGGATAAAACAGAACTTGCTGTAGGCAAGAAGTATTTTTAGAGTCCAAATCCACCTGTCTACATAAATGGGAAGCCAGAGTAGCCCCAAATGCCTCATTGGGCATCTTGACCCCTCAGTAGTGAATGAGGGGGTTTGGCTTCATCACTGAGTGCTAGCTGAAGTCAGATAAATACAGTAAATGTGGCAAAGGAAACATTTGTTTTACCTAAAGTTTACTCTTCACATATGAGACTAGTTGTCCCTCTGCTTCCAATGTTTTCACAGCCTACTTCTATGCTTGGGTTATGTTGGTGGAATCAGAGTTAGCTCAGACTCCATAATGTGAAAAATTCCCAACTGATCAGTTAGGTTACATAGGAGCAGTAGAGCAAAGGAGTGTCTTAAGGCAGGGAGATGCGATTTGTTGAAAAGGAAGACATTGGTGCATTAGTTCCCATATTCATCCAATTCAGGAGTTCTTCTTTTGAGAATCTGAATGCTCAACCTCCTCCCAAAAAAGAATCACCCACAAAACTTTACATAAAATCAAAGCAATTTTCTTGGACTTGAAGCCCATTTTAAGATATGGCAAAAGCTGTATTCCATTTTCTAATAATGTTTATTAACTGGTATTCATTAAGCACTATATGCTAAGCATCATGCTCAGTATTTTATATGCATTCACTTATTTCACCCTCAACACAATCCTTTGAATTAACTTCTACTTTGGTTTCCAATTTACAGATTTGGAAACTGAGGCTTAAAGAGATTAGGAAACTTGTCCAAAGCCACTAACTAGACAATGGCAGAGCTAGAATGTGGGTCTAATTCCAGCCCACTATCTATGAAGTCACCAAGACGTCAAACTATGTTTCAAGCTGTTGAGAAGTGACTCCTATCGGCTTTTAGACTAGACTTTCTTGGGTGGATAAGACTATAAAATTTGCATCTCCCTTCCCTCTGTAATCTCTCATCCATGACAGTATCTAGTACTAAAGTAGAAATACCTAGGTAAAAAGATAAGTGATTTGTCTGAAAAATAGAATCTGGACCCCCCCCCAAAAAAAATAATTCACTTGTTCTGTGTGTGATTCTTATCAAGTCAGACTTCCTGTCCTTACAAATAGAAAGATTCCCAGGTTGTCAGCCTTACATTTAAGAGAAAATTATAATAGTGATCTATAGGCATGGGCTAAACAAGTCAGCATTTCTGCATACATACACATCCTTCTCCTATTCTTCACTTAAAGGACAAATAACTGATTTTAGGTGAGGTCTTGGTTATCATATTTCCTAAACTTTATTTGTGGCAAAATGTAAGGGAAGAATCAAATGGAAGGGAGCTCAATCTTTGTTGTCCCCATTATCCCTTTAAGAAGATAGGAATAGCAAGAACTCAGCATTATGCATTCAGTACCCAACCTGGCCACTTTGGCTCTAATAATGGCTTGAGACCCATACCCCATACCTTGTCCATCATTACTAATAGGCCATACCCGTCTCCATGACCAGAATTATTCTTGCCAAAGTATTCAGGCCCTTACTACCAATTGATTGGAGTAGGAAATGGGACCCATTTGCCAATTCTTGTCCAAACAGTGGCTCCCTTTAACCTTGAACTTATACATTTTAACTGGTGTCCTAGATTCAGCAATGAGGTTGGTGTCTTTCCAACTACTAAAGGAGAAGATGAGTACATCTGAAGTTCCTTACAACTTGGTGGCTTTGGAGCACTTTCATCTTCTGAGCAAAGGGACTAGGGTTTGATATGTAAGAGTTAAAAGACCTAAAAGCATTTTGAAGAATTAACTCATCCAGGGACCAACTGAACAGGTTATAAACCAGTGTGCCCCTGTTAAGGTCCTACTGTCCATCTACCCCCACCCAATGCTGAGAGACCACAGCCACAAAGAGACTGAGGTTCATCCTGCTTTCTTGCTTTTGCAACAGCACATATCTGATCCACTGGGTAGTTAATAGACAGAGCTTCCCACTGGTCCCAACAGATACAGCCCCAGTGCCAGCCAGGGTCCTATAATGCTCTCTGACTCAGTCACCCCATAAAACCTCAGTAAAGGGATAAGCTCAAAAATGTCAAAACCTTGTTTTAGGATAATTCAGGAATTTTCGTTTACTGGTGTCTGTGTTCCAGTGGCAAATCAGAAATGGGTACCCTTTATGAGCCTTATGGAACTAATATCACCAGAGCCAGAAATCAGGTTCTCTGGTAAGAAGGGGATAAGTAAGCAAAATAAAGGGAAGAGCTGGCATACCCAAATTTGGGGTGGACACAAAATTAACCTAATTCATATCTAGTGTTTTACTAAGGGAATGGAGTTTTTATGCATTAACCACATCCTCAAAGTATATAAAAAAATTTAAAAATTTTAAAAAACCACATCCTCAGTCAAGTTTCTCCCTTTTGGAGGACGCTAAGAAGGAGAAACACATCTCTTAAGGAGGGCATGTTTTAAAAGGAAAAGGTAGAGGACATCCATCATTGTGCTGGCTAGATATGCTTCTGGAGAAGCCAGATTCTGGTGCTTTTAACGGAAAAGATGAGGTCATAGAAGTCCCATTTGCTTGGACATTTTGTAAAAGGAACCCCATTCCCATAAAGCAATTGAGTTCAGCCTTTGGGTTATTTTTGGGTTTGTTTTGTTTTTCTCTGGGTTTGGGTGTGATGTAAGAGAAAGAGATTTTTAGTTTTGTTTTGTTTTAAATAACATCAATCCTTGCACACTCTATGCAAAAATTTTGTAAGCATTGCAATAATGCTATGAACTACAAGGAACTATTTTAACTTTATTACACTTTCTGTATAAAAAAATTTGTATTTAATATTATTTCAATTGCAGTCTTGTAAAATATATTAATAAAAATAATGATTGGTAAGAAGGAAAGCACCCTTGTCCACTTCTTCAGGGAATTCCTCTTTCACAGTTAATAAGTCAGTCACTCCTACTGACTCTACCTCAGAAATAAATTTTCAGATTAACTTCTCTTCTGAATTTCTTTGATCAGTGGCACATTGATTAAGCCACTTTTGCCTCTCTGGAAGAGATTTACACAGGCTGCCTCATAAAAGAGAGCTTATTTTAAGGTACTACATGGCCTAGAATTGGGAAGAGTCCCCAGTATTTGGAGGTCAGGAAAACAGCCACCCTTTGCTGCTCTCCTAATGACCTGCATAGGTTCCTTTTGCTGCATTTTACTACAGCCCTCTCTGAATCAGTGAAGATGCCTATCCGACTGGTCAATTTTAGGTAAAATATTTTTAATCATGCTACCTTAGCATTCCTGGTCAGCCTACAGATGAGCCACCTTTGGGCCAAGGGGCCATTCTTGGTCCAATCAGCTTTCATTGTCATCCAAAGAATAACCTAGCATTGCTGCCCTACATGGTGTCATGAGTGAAACAATCTATGAAAGAAAGCATCATGGAAGAACCATTCTACCCATCACAATCAATCCTCCTTGTTGAGCAGCTCACATCTGGCCTTCCACACTGCTGTTTTTGCACATACTATTCCATCCACCTAGAATACCCTTCCATCTAGCACCACCCTACGCCAGCATATCATCCTCTTCAGGATCCTATTCTCTTATCACCTTGTCTCAGTGGTCTTGATCATTCTTCCTCAATTTCCCTATTAATTTGTTCTGATTTCTTCCATAATTCTACATTGTACTATGGTTTATCAATTTACCTATCAACCTGGGACCCTAGAATACTTCTGTTCATTTTTAAAATTTGTAAAAGAGTAATGACATCTAAATTGATCCTCATGTTATAAGTCATTTCATCATCTAGAAAATCTAAGATAAATTTTACATATCCAGGACATGATAGAAATAGTGGCCATTCCCAACCATATTTTCATGGTAGGCTACATCTCATCAAATTTAACTTCTGATTACAAATGACACTAAAGAAGTATTACAGAATCCTCAAGGTAAAAAGCTATAATAAAAATTTCATTCCCAGGCAAGGTGCAATTTATCTGGGGGCGGGGGAGGGGGCAGTGTGACTTGACTATACCAGAAAAAAAACCTAAATCAAAGAGAATGAAACAGAGAAATCACCATTCAAGAGACCTGATGCATTGATG